TGTCGAATTTCGCCGAGTTGTCAGATTCCGCCATTGGTCGATGCTAATTGGCCAAGTGCGCTGCTACGACCTCTCTGATTGGCTTAAAATGCCGCCATTACGAAATATGACAATATGGCGGAATTAGACAAAAGTCCAGAATATCACCCACGGCCGACTCGCGACGGAGATTCAAAAAGAGAACACCACCGGTCGTACTAAAACCTACCGCGCGCTCTGACGTTTCGATCAATCGCGCGCCATTATGATCCCTACTTTTCATTACTCCATGATCTGAAACACTCGATTGATTGATTGATTGATTGATTGATTGATTGATATGTGGGGTATAACGTCCCAAAACCACCATATGATTATGAGAGACGCCGTAGTGGAGGGCTCCGGAAATTTCGATTACCTGGGGTTCTTTAACGTGCACCCTAATCTGAGGACACGGGCCTACAGCATTTCCGCCTCCATCGGAAATGCAGCAGCCGCAGCCGGGATACGAACCCGCGACCTGCTGAAACACTCGAGACTCGCTTGACGTCTCGAAAACGAGCACGGGGAGCGAAAGCTGCGGGCATATGGCTGACATTTTTTTTTAAATTTTTCTCGGCTTAAAAATAAACTCTCTCATGGTCTGCTCGCAAACTGAAGTAGCAGACGACGATTACCACCGCATCCAGCTCGACTGAATCGTAAAAGCGATTAACCAACGCATAATTCCAGACGCCGCAATGGATGGCCGCTGTTGAGAGAGAGCGAGCAGCTGGGCAGGTGCAAACATGCTACGCACGTATCCGAGATGATTGGGTTACGTTTGGTTAAGACGATGAACGGGTTCAGCTGCAAAGGCGACAAAAAGACGAGACGCGCATTGCACTTCGCTGACACGGGCGAGGAAAAAAGAAAGTAAAAACAAACACAAAACAAAAAGCAGAGGAATACGAGAAAGCGGCCGAAGCAGCTTGCGACAGCATCCCGGATAGGTTCGCGCCGGGTTTATCGTCTGCAAAACAAGCATCGCCAAGAGCACCTGACGACAAACGGGACCATGTCCGTTTTTCTTAGGTGTTTTTTTTTTTTGTTTCGGTTTGCGTAGTGCAGCTTTGAGAGAGGCAGGAAATCAGCAGCAGTCGTCATCCCGCCCCCCCCCCCTCCCTACCTGAAAAAAAAAAAGAAAAAGAACCCACTGCCCCGTGTCACACGTACTATACAACAACATAGGCAAGCTCGCCAACCTCTCTTTCAGGAAATGCAAAGGCCAGACATGGAGACTGCATAAGAACGATGTGAGCAAAGTAAGCGAGACGAATTAGAAACAGTTTCGAGCCACGCGAGGCCGCGTTCGAAACAAACCAAAAAAAAAAAACGAAAATGCGGCGACCACCAAGCGGTAGAAACAAGATACACGAATATAAAAATAATAAAAAGTACCAATCGCCAAGGTGCGACGGAGCCTAGCAGACAAGCCAAGGCAGAAGCGGCGGCGCGTCATCGTTTCCATGGCAACGCCAAGATGGCAAACTCCGGAGGAGAAAAAAGAAAAATGACGCTAGTTGCCTGCGGCCGCAAGAACGAAAGCCGCTGTTTGTGCAGTGCCCCGCACTGCTGCTGCTCGCTCCGCAAAGCAGAGAAGAGGCTTCCTTTCTTTCTTCTTAACCTTGTTGGCTTTCTTGTTGGGAGAAAATAAAAAATAATGAAAACCAAAGCGCTTTGTCCTCCCCCGCTTGCTTGCTCTGCACAACAAGCGAACTGCACGCAACATCCGAGAGACAACGTGGCTACGCTTTTTCGACCCCGTTGTCTTGCCTAAAAAAAGAAAACGTGCCACGGCAGGGAAGATTTCGTTCGAGTCGCTTTCCACGCGGCTGCCAGGCTCCTTTTCGGAGTCACGAAGACCGTTTTGCTTCAGCTTTCGCTACGGACGAGGTCTGCGCCTCCAACTGTCATACCAATCGCTCCACGCCGCAGTACTTTTCTGACCGTGCTTCGCGGCCGAGAACCACAAGTCTTAGCATCATTCCCCGTACGACATCGGATAAATTGGAAGGCGGCCAAACCGCCGTAGGAAAAAGCGTTCCCACAGGCACTTGCGCCGCAATAGCGGCGCGGCAAGTCAAAACTTGTCAGCAGACGTAATGCGTCGATCTCCTCATGAAGCCAATCCACAACCGCGCGGCTGTTGGGGGCATACGTGCTGACAACATGACGTAATAACACGCTAATGAGACCCTGCATTCATTGACTAGTAGAGCTTCAAATATGTAAGTACACCGTTTTTAGGTTACAACCCAATTGAGAGAGAGAGTGAGTGAGAGAGAGATAGAGAGAGAGAGAGAGAGAGAGAGAGAGAGAGAGAGAGAGAGAGAGAGAAAGCGCTCCCCAGTGAACCACGGCTCGCCTGCATTTCACCTGCGAAAGACTGTCATGCTAGCTGGCCTCGTTTCTGAGCTCGGCCTAGTGTGAATAGCAGGCGATTGGGGAGTTAAAAGTGCGTAGTAACTACCTCAAGCCACAGCCTCCTAGATTTCCCTTGCCTGCCCGATTATCGGCGGTCACTTGGGAAGCGGCCGTCGTCGGAACTATGGTAGTGGCGCCACTTGAAGTAGGGGTGTCTTCAAATAAGCTCTTACGTTTTTGGAGCTTACAGTGCAACAAAAATAACGCAGAAATGTTTTAAAAAGGCGTAAGAGTAATTATAATTGAACTCTACGTTAGTGACGCCGCCATAGATGACAGACGTTTCACGTTCATTCAGCAGGCAACCCCTTCAAAACAAGCATAGCCTCCGAAGTTAGCCAACGCCAAAATTGCTGATCTCAAAGGCCAAGTACAAATACCCTTACTCTTACGTAGGTAGCGCCGCCATAGATGACGGGAGTTTCGCGCTCATCCGGCAGGCAAGGGAAATCTAGGAGGCTGTGCTCAAGCATACTGTTTGACTGTGTGGCAATGTCCGAATCCACGACGAAATTTAACAAAGTGTTCATATTACCGACCTAAAGATACACTAACGGCTAATAATTAATTACAACAATTAACAATTATTACTCACAGAGACGTATGTCACTATCTGAAATGTCGACCATATGAAACTTGAAGAAAGTTCATGACGTCACTAAAATTAGTAAGCGCTATTGGATGGATCAATTCTCTGTGGGAGGAGCAGCGATAGCTGTGGGCGTAGCTGACATTTTTTCATTGGATGTATTCGGCTGTAGTCGGGTTTCAAATACGTATACTACACAGTTCGTTAGCATGCCGGCGGCATGGCAACCACATGGAAACTTACGCACCGAGTGCTCGTACACACTACGCCAACTGAAGCCTTGTTCCCTAGAAGTGCGCAGCGATATAGTTTTTACTTCCAATAAACACACATGTCCAACCAACTGGGCGATGTATCCCCTCCCCCCTCTTTCGTTTCTTCTCTTTAACGATGCCGCGGCGCACCATTTGATTGTGATCAGGTTATTTTAGTGTCACAAATGCTTGTCACAGAGCAGCCACGATAAAAAAACAAAAAAAAAACAAACACAAATACCGAACCAGTAAACAACGTAAGTAAACCTCACCTAAGCTTTCTCTCTCTCCGTGTTTTCTCTTTAATTTGCCCCACCACGTGGCGGTAGCGGCCGAGTTTGTAAACCTCACGAAGACTAACATGCGCGCTGCATTAGAATAAGCTTTCTTTCAGGACGTAGTCGCTAATGTTGCGATAATCAAAACAATAATCCCGGAGATACGGGCACGTTCTAATCTGCCTCAAAGGAACTATCAACACCTACGCCTCCCTCTTTACTTTAAAGCACACACACACACAACTGACAAGAAACAGAAAGCGAAAAGATTTTGTTTTTCGAGGTTGATAGCGAGATGCGACGGGGGCTCCACTCGGCGTCACAGGCATAATCACCTCTTAATTGCTCACTCCTTTTTATCACATCTGCTCTAGAGAGACTACTGGCTGGCTACGAACTACGCCGCACGGCAGCGGCATGTGTAATCGGGACACCCACACAACATGCACACAGCGACTTCGACTCTGACGACTATGGCCATATGAGAGTTGGGTCACATGTCGATAGACCGAGCACCCCTCCTACAAGCACCAGTCTTCAATCCGATTGCGCTGGTATCGTGTCTTGAAGGATCTCTGCGTGAACGGTACGAACGATGCGACCCCGTCCGTGCCTGGCGGCGCTTCGCACGGATGATCATCTCAGCAACAGCTGTATTATGAGAAACGCCTGCAGCTTAAGAAAAGAAAATAAATATATAGAAAGAAGGCTTCGGCGGAGGCTTTCGTGTGGGTTTCCTGCTATTTTATTTCCCCCCAAGGTCCGTTTCTTCCAGAACGTTCATTTCTCTTTCTTTCTCTCTCTCTCTCCCTTTTTCTTAGCACATGGGCAGTAATATCTCGCAAAGACACCTATTCTCTCGAAGGCGAAACGTTTATCGAGCCCGGAAAGTTAGGTCGCGGATGATTAGCTCGCGTGCCGTTCAACTACCTTCCGCATCGAATCCAACGCAGGGCCGCAAGCATTTAGGCCAAGATATCCCGATCGCCCTTTTTTTTTTTTACTTCTATTAACTTGACCTTCGGCGATCGCCTACCGGCAACCGGGCCGAGCTTTCGCACATCGGTCGGTCGGCTGCAAAAACTGCACGTTCGCACCAGCGACGCTTTCACGTTAGCTGCACGTTACCACATATTTTGGGAGCCTCATTGACGAGCGGCGGAGTCGAGGAGGACGGGGAAATAAAATAATGGCGACGACCTGGCGAGGAGATGAAAACGCTGTTCTGGGACGTGCGTGTTTGTGGTCCTTCGCGATCATCAACATTTTTAAGCCTCGGCCCACATGGAGTGGTGGGGGGGTGAACCGACCCGAAGTCGTGGTGTCGGAGCCGCGGACCGCGTCCCGCAAAATGTCGTAGTGAGAACCAATCCGTCAGCGAAAGAATTCGCAGCACGCAGCCGGGATCTAGCGAAAGGAACGAAACGCACTTACAGTGAAGCGGCCGGGCGAAACATTCCTAAAGTTGGTTCTCCCACCTCGTGTAGTACGATGCTATGCTGGCTCGCATCGTTGTGTACGTAGCAGCGTTTCGGCTGTTCCGCCAGGCGCCGCTCCCCAACAGAGCCCAGCGTGAACGAGAAAAACAACTAAATTTTCCAAACACCGACGCTCACCTATTCACGCAAGTTCGGCGTTTTCAATTTTGTGGTCGGTAATTATCATTCTAAAATCTAGAACTCGTGCGAACGGCAGTGTATTTGTTTTTGCCGACGAGCGGGGAGTCCTGCACAGTTTACGGTAACAGCACGTGCGGCGCGTCCGTGACGAACTTCCGGGGGCGCTTGTTTAACTTCCGGTAACCTGAGATTGAGAGATGTGGTTTGCGGGGAAGCCTGCGGCAGGATGTAAAAAATAATAATAACAGGAATGCACGACGCGTTTAAATCCGGTCGCATGGGCACCTGTTAGCCTTTTTCGAGCGCTTAGACTTGTCCGAATTGAGCGCAATAAAACAAAATAATTGTGATTCACAAAAATAAATATTTTCATTTGTTTTACCGAAAGGTGCCGTTACAATGCGCGTATCATTGGGAGCCTCACGTATAAAGCGGAAGCGGCAGAAACGACGTGGTTTCACGTTTCACATTTAAAAACAAGAGATAAAAATGCGCACATTTCATATCGAAACCTACCATACATTTAGATGCATGCTAGGTAAAATAAACGAATAATAAATCATTGAAACGGGGATCTTAATAAATAGCAAATCTAATTGCGCAACCTGATAAAGATCTGAAGCAAGTATTCATTAAAAAAGCCAATTAACGCTCTGCGAAATTATGTTCTGGGCAGTATCAACAAGGCACTGATGAATGTTTGCAATGGTTCATGGTGTATGACAGCTGAAATTTTACAGCAGTTTATGAGAATATATCTTTCCGACCACAATGAAAAAGTGCAGAGAAGCACATGCTAAATACAAGCTGCCCAATTCTGTTAATTGAAAATATCTGGACAACTTGGAAGTACGATTGGAATACATTGTTAACTGCAGAAAACTGGGGCCAAGTGCTTTCGTTTTACCTGGTTATACCATCTGGTTTTGCAGCAAAAAGATCCCAGAAGAATGTTTCCAATAACGCAGCAGAGAAAACAAGATGGATGAACTTCTGTGGTTTGAGGTGCCAGAATTGCAATGCAATTATATAATAAGTGCCATAATGGGGCCTTCAAATAAATTTTTACCACCTGGGGTTTTTCAAAATCAAGTTAAATAAAGCCAATGTATTTACTGTTCGGTTAGTATGCACATCAATGTGAAATGAACGAGCGAAACAAAATGCAGTCTAGAAAGAAACATTATGGAGAGGAAAGAGTGCTCTGTTCCACATTTTCCCCTGCACCATATTTGATTCTACTTAACGATTTCACAATAAACGGAAGCATGTTAGCATTCTTTGTATTGCATTTTAATCAGAACATGGCTGAAATAAAACCTGACGCTTAGCAGGCAAACGTGACAGCCTTGATAAAAAAAAAAAGACTTTTTCCAGTGACATGTTACTCCATTATAGCGTGTGCTTGGAAATGCAATTTTTTATGAATAACAATTGATTGATATGTGAGGTTTAACGTCCCAAAACCACCATATGATTATGAGAGACGCCGTAGTGGAGGGCTCCGGAAATTTTGACCACCTGGGGTTCTTTAACGTGCACCCAAATCTGAGCACACGGGTTATATTAATAACAAGCTGCAAAACAAAGTATGACTAGGTAATCTAATTCTGTGCACGTCGTTGTGTCTCTTAGGAATGATAACGGAGAACACCAGAGGCTTGTCTAGCTAGAGAGCGATCTCCCTGACTCTTATCTCCTCTTCACGCCACAGTCGCTCACGTCAGAATGATGTTACTCTTCGCAGAAAAATGGAGGAGGTGCACAAGAAACAAGGCAAACAAGAAACACACAGTTAGAATAATCACGAGACTGTTGTGCTAATGAGTGCGAAAGCAACCAAAGCACACTTCCGCATACTCATGCACATGCACATATGTGCCGGATGTCATGCTTCGGTGTGATCTAATTGTGCGTCTTCAGTCAACACCTCAACTACTCTGTTAACTGGTGACTACTCTGTTAAGTGGCATTGGCCAAGCCTTAGGTTGAGAGAGGTGCTATTTTTGCGAAACTTCCATCAATGCTGAAATCAATTCAAATTAATAGCCCTTTTTTTTCACTATTATTAAACAGCCATCCTGAGAGCCCAATTGATTAGAAGCAAGGAATGTCACACAAGGATCACCTGATCGCCGAATTTTGCGATGACAGTTCGGTAAGAAGATGAACCCATCCAGGCGACGTGCACGTACAGTAGATCTCAAAAGTTCACTAGGTCCAAGAAAACTTTTAGTTTCCCAACAATTTCTGACTGTATTCGGTCGAACTGCGCAGTAGATGTTGATGTCGTGTTTTAGAACAGGCCGGAAAAATAAATTGAAGACTGCCTGCTGAACCGGCGGAAATAATCAAGCTTTTTTTATACCTGATAATCGCTTAACATTTGATATCGACTTTACCGGAACTAACAACGTCCCCGAATAGCTGCAAAATAATTTGTTAAAGAAGTGACAGCCAGTTTTGCTGACTCATGTAACGTAACAATTTTTCTTATTTCTCTGCGTAAATGGTTTTTGTTGGTCTCCTGAACTATGTTTGCAGAGAACGACAGTGCATAAAGTAAGGATGAAGAGAGATCAAACGAGTCCGATGTTGTACACTTCTTTGCAGTGCTTCCGTACGTATTGCATATCCAAGCAATCAACCTGTGGTAATTAGCTCAGTCTTGTCGTTCTTTCTCCGTCTCGTGTCTAGCGTAGTTTGTTCGTCTTTGACGGGTACAAACCAGCCCACTCAGGTGCACTCTCGCAGATCAAATCGGTTTCCTAGTTCGTTTCTGTGAACCAAGAGATTTGTGGTTACTCCTTCATACTAGGTATGCCCCACAAATGTTGACGATGATGATGGCACTCTTCCATTATTTCTGGTGACTTGTCAGAACATGAGTTGTCCAGTGTCAGCCAAGCTTCAGCTCGGGAATTCCCAATAAGACTGGTGTGGTATCTACAAAGATAATGCAAGGCCACCTAAATTCTCTGCATAATTTTACTGACTGAATTAAAGGAAAGCTGCTTTGCCTAGCGAGATTTGTCAAGTATGGTCAAATTGCTTCCAACACTTTAACCGCAACTAAAAGTCGCTTTGAAACATCATGACTGATTAGGAGACTCAGTGATGTATGCTACTTGGAAATACGAGCATGTAACCAAACAAGGACTATGAGAAGGCAAGGACAAGTTCAGACGCTTGTCCTCCTCGTCTCGTAGTCCTTGTTTACATACACGCTCGTTACTTCCAAGTGACCACCGAGTACGGGACTAACGTCTCGTGCTACTACGTTAACTAGTTTTTTTTTTTATTTTGAGCACTAGCCGTTACGAGACTATAACAACAGCCAATTCTACTGACATAGTTGTATACCACCACTACCAGTGTTTGCAACAGCTATTGCGTGCAATTAGTAAAAAAAGGGGGGGGGGGGGGGCAGGGCGGGATCAGAACTAGGCTTTCAGTGTGGCAGTCGAGAATAATAACAGAGCCACGCCAGCGCTTGAAATTCCTTTGCAAAAAAAAAGACCCTACACAGGCGCCACGTAGGGCAAATAATCATACAAACAGATCGGCAGGCGACGGAACAGTCGGCTCGCTCAACGCACACACTTTTTTCATCGTGCTGCGCGCGACCGATGGAAGACCAAGGAATTTTCCTGCAAGCTATGCAGTTTATTAGTCGAACAAAGTCCATACGCATGCAATGGCAATGTGAGAAATAAATGTGAAATTTTGGGAGGGTGGAGGAGGTTGGCTAGAGCTTGTTGGGTGTCAACTCTTCTAATCGTGTAGAGGAAAGTACACGGGAAGCAGCTGTTCGTACAACCTAACGTCCACTGCCAGAAACAGGCAGAAGATGATTCTGTCCACCTGTAATGGGAAAAGTAACACGTGTGGGATGAGTCACTCACGAATCGGAAGATGCTTGCACAAGCAGCTAACAATAAAACAATGCCACCATGCCAGTATATATATATATATAAAGTGAAGAGAGAATGAAAGACTTTATCGAAAGTATTACGAAGATATCCATAAGCAAATGTCTGTTACATAAAATATCTGTTACATGAAAAAACTCTTGCACGCATATACATCCCGTACTTATTTTACACAAGAGCCCTGCAAAAAAATGCAATTTTTGCATTCCTTTCACTTCGTTCTAAACTCCCTACTTGTCATTGCCCCATGATCTGACTTCTAATAGCCTGAAAGGAAAAGGAGCGTGCATACATAGTCCCCAGTGAAATAGCTGCAAGACAGCATAGCCTACAATGCGGTGGCAGTGAATGAACACCTGAGCCAAGCTCCTAAAAAGTATCACGGGCCAGCGCCAGGCAGGGCTCTGCACCCCATGAAGCAGCCTGGAGGGGGCCCGAGCCCCCAGCGCTCCTGTGCTCTCCGCCTCTAGACACAACCTTCATATCAGGCAGAAACTAGTGAAAAATAATGAACTTACCATGTTTTCACCTGGAGTTGACGTGTAGGCCCATTATGCATACATGTCTCTTAAGATAGGCCTTGAGCTAATTAAGACATTCAAGGCTAGTTATTGCCAATTAGCCCCAATTACTATGTTAATTTAGTAGTCCCTTGAAGAGAAGGGCGCACTGCCACCATAGTTTTATTCCTCACCACTATTGTGCCATTTTCATACTATGAAAACACGATAGCCACTAGGCGACTTACACTGCACACTCGGTCTGCAATGGCCAAACCTGAAAGGGGGGGGGCCCCTTAACAGGAGTTAAGCTTACAATTTTCAGTCGCTCTGTCCTCTTGTGTCGGTCTGCTCGGCCGTTTCTTCTTCCCCGTAATGCGCTATACCAGTTCAAGTACGACGAACCAACTCGCCCAATCTTCAACACTCGTGCTCTGAGGTTAAATAGAGTTCAACTCTGTGGACAGATTATGGCAGCGAATAAGTACCTTGTGAGCGTTTTCGTCAGCTTCGAGCCACTCACGCGCCGTTGACAGGGCCACGTGTGCTGCTTTCTCGTTTGGATAACCTAGAACCAAACAGAATGGGACGGTGCAACATCAGCCCGTTTTGAACGGTCGCTGTTGAATTTTCGCGACCTGGTATAAATGCAACTGAACAGTCCTGAGAATTTCAAAAATTCTCTTACCGTAGACACCTGTTGAGATGCATGGAAATGCCTAAAAAAGAAAGGGAGAAAAAACAGAGGAAAAAAACCTTTTCAACTGCGTGAACACATGCCGATCCACGTTCACAACTCGTCACTAGACTACTTTAGCAATAACATCCCCAATAATAAATCAAAGGTTCAGTAAAGGCCTGAATGATTCCTCTAAATATAACATCAACATTTTCCAAGCTGCTTACGAATGGCGTGAGCTCATCTGCTCCTTTTAAATGCAAGATTTATGACAACCTCCATACGGCTATAAAAAGAACGATTCCGAGGTTTTTCACATGTTTTAAAGCAATGTCACAGTTGTAAGGCACGACCTAGCGGGGACACACACACACACACACACACACACACACACACACACACACACACACACACACACACTTCGGATTATAACTCCAAGAAACTGGGGTTTTTTTTAACTGTGTACCTAAATATAGGCAATGCCTCCTCTAGAAATATGCCTGCCACAAGAGCCGAAACGCTTGTTCCCAGCCCTCTCCCGATCCCTCCTCCTCTGTTTCACCACAGGGGTGTCGGCTACGAACACTCGTAGTGGTGGCCGCTCCAAACCTCTGAGCCTTCCCTGATTAAAGCAATGTGCTAGCACTCTTGAAAACTGCGACAGCCGTTGACACTGCCTCGGTGATGGTGATGGCGTCATTTTTGATGTTATTGAAAGCAGTGTTGGTTGCGAACGGACCACGCAGAGACTAACACTGAACTACGAGGCAACTCTCATCCTTATGGGAACAACAAGGCGTCATACCATGCGAATTGCATAACAAGTTGGTCGTCGAATGCTCCAACCAATCACAAAAGTCTGAGCCACAATTTTTCATTATCGTCAACCATAGCATAAAAAAATTGCACAAAATTCCTTGCACGTACGTAGTGGGCACCACGCTATTCCAAAGAATGATGACGGATGCTACTATACCAAAATTATGATGACATGACGTAGTGGGTGCCCTGCAAGTGTTTTTCTAGCAGTTACGCAAAGAATATTTTAAAAAGGCTCTAAAAAGACCGCTCTTCCAGCTTTCACTGAGACTGAACTGTGCATTCCACGCAGGCCTGGAAGTCTTTTGTTCTATTTCAGATAACAGGTACCAGCATTGCACATTGCACTGCTGCATATTATGTTTCGTAGTCTCGGCTCGCATTCTGACCGTATAATCAGTGTTCAAAGGGCACCGCTATTGGCAACACTGCCACTTTTCTTGCCGCAGAGTCTGCATGTGCGGTGATTAAAGAAAACTAACCAACCCTCCAACCCACCAATCAGAGCAAATGAAAAGTGACTGACATCTCAAAGGGTAATGGCCTTGGAATGCGACCCCCGAAATAACCTGAACTAAGCACCAGCAGAGCTGAAATGAACTGCGGGGACAGCCACACGGCTCGAGCAGAAGAAAAGTGTACTGGTTGCAAGCTTCTTTGCCCGCTGAAGTCGCGGCAATCCGCCGCCAGAATCCCGACATGAAACACAGGTTGGGCTTGGGGCTCATAGAATGTAGGTCGTTCTCATAAGATCTGAAAACGGGACAGATAGATACCCCAGTCAAAAAAAAATCAATGGGTCCAATTGGACAAATACCAATTGCTACGAATTGGTTCTCGACCAATTGGAATTTCGCCACCAGTTGGGAGCGTACCAATTATATCCAATTGGTAGACCAGTTTACGTCCAATTGGTGAACCATTTGGACAGTGCCGGTGGCCAATTGGTTTTCCAATTATATTTAACTGGACGTAACCGAATCTTAATTGGTGCCCAGCTTTCTTTTCACTGCAACCAGTTAAAGCTAACTGGTGTCCAATTGGTCAACCAATTCTAGATAACTGGTGTCCACCTATTCAACCAGTCAATGTAAATTGGCGTCCAAATGGTTATCCAGTTAAAGCCAACTGGTTATCCAATAGAAGCTGATTGGCGCCCAATTGGTTAACCAGTTGAACACGTATGGTGATCCAGTTAAAGCCAACTGGTGCTCAACTGTTTAGCCAGTTGAACACATATGGTCATCCAATTAAAGATACTGGAGTGCAATTGGTCAACCAGTCAATGACAATTGGTGTTCAAATGGTTAACCAGTTGAAAACATGTGGTGATCCAGTTCATGCCAACTGGTGCCAACAGGTCATCCAATTGAAGCTGATTGGTGCGCCATTGGTCAGCCAGTCAAACACATAATGATCCAGTTAAAGCCAACCGGTTAACCAGCTCACGTGAATTGGTGTCCAACTGGTTAACCAGTTGAAAACGTATGGTCCCCCAGTTAGAGTGAACTGGCACCCAACAGGTCATCCAATAGAAGCTGACTGGTGCCCAAATGGTTAACCAGTTGAAAACATGTGGTGATCCAGTTCAAGCCAACTGGTGCCAACAGGTCATCCAATTGAAGCTGATTGGTGCGCCATTGGTCAGCCAGTTGAATGTACATGGTCATCCAGTTAGAGCTGGCTGGTGTGCAACTGGTCAACCATTTGAAGTGAACTTCTAGCTTGGTCTAGCTTGAACCTAACATTCTTCCATTACAAATTGGTGTTTGGCTGAAATACATGGGCAAAGAGCACACCAAATTGTTAAAGCAAAAATGTTCATCCTGACCAAAATGATCCGGTATGCTTGGTCGTGAGTGATGTGTATTGCACATGCATAAAATAAAAACCATAAAATGAAGGTACTTGATTTACAATAATTTATTACTTGTACAAGTATTGCAAAAGTTGACTGGAAAATGACTAGACCAAATTTGCAGGCACGGCTTACTCTTGACCTTGGAATTTGCTGGCCTTATTCACAGCTTTCCTGTGGCTTAAGGTTGTCCTTCTCCCTGAAAGTGTTGAAAAATACACAAGTGCATGAAAGTTACAAGTTCACATCGCTAATGTTACATATACACATGATGCAACGACATTGTGGTGCTTGAACCACACTACGACTTCAAGGCATGAGAGCTGGCCCTTTGCAACATTTTCAATGGTAGCCTGCTGCAGAACTATCCTTAGAAATGGACCTGTCAGAATATTAGGGATAGGTAATGACATTGCTTATTGCTGTAGGCAGAGTGTGTATCATATTTACGCAAATCTAGGCCAATAGTCTTTCTCAAACTCAAATACTGTCGGGTTGGTTTATATTTGAGTACTTAAAAAATTGTTACAGTTGAGTGATAGCAGTAATTGTTTCCACCAGCATAATAACCATGGATTGATCATGCCATCAAGGCTCATAAGCTTGTTGATTCAAGGTGCACCCCGCAACTCTAGGTGTGGCCAGTAGCATGCTGTACTGTGCAAAATATTTCACATTTTCATTTGGACGCACCGGCTGGCCATCGATTAAGACTTAAGCACATGTGGCGATGGCTGCAAATGTGATAGCAGCCACTGACAAACATGAGAGTGCAACGGATTGCCGACAGCCCTATTGCACTAGGCATTTTCGACTACCTGTTTAGCAGCATGTAAGGCACAGCGCCATTTAAACTTACTGCATACTGCTAATATGCAACAACCCAAATGCGTTGGTGCCATGGTGGAATAGCTAAAACCGCCTTAACTGCACAAAAAAGCATAGCCGCCACATTGGCCCAAATGATGCACGCAACACCCGCTTATTGTCAGAAGTGAACGCTTACGCACAAGAAAATGTTACTGCACAGACACTGACATAGTAAACAAGCACGGAAAGGGGTCCCAGTGCAGTAATATTGTGACCATACATAGCAGGCTACACATTGTAGCAGGCGCCGGGTTTCAAGAGAACAGCACTGTTCAGCAGAGAATCATTGTACACACAAACACACACAGGAGAAAGCTGGACGAGTTGTCTGCTTTGCTGCCATATCAAACTATTTTGCAATCTCCTTTATGGCTCTATATATATATCTGGGTTCTACTGTATGTGTTTTGAGTTTTTTGCATACTGTAAACGTTTTCCTGCTGGGTCTACATTTGAGGTAACATTTTCTTTTCTTTTTTCTGGCTTCAAACCTTAGGGGGTCAGCCTAGAATTTGGGCCTGCTCAGATGTGAGTAAAGTGCTAACTTGATGTGCTAGGAGCTCAAGACTAGTTTTTACCACATGATCTCACACATACTTCACAGGTGTGAGTAAATGCACTGGCATGGCATTTAATCAGTATGATGCTTTGAACACTTTTTTTTACAAGGCTGCATGTCATTTAAAACTACATACAAGAACCTTCCTGAAATTCATCAAAACACATTTACAACTGCATCTCACCGTTTTGCCATCCTCTCAAGGTCTGCCAGCTTCTCCACCACAAAATGGTTTAGCTGCTTGAGTGCAGCAGGCACAAGGTTTTCAGGAATACCTTGGCGCTGCAGTCGCCGTCTGTAACAATCTAAAACAAAAGGTTCACAGGGCATCACTAACTGGCAAGAAGAAACAGTTCTTAAACAAAAATGGAGTCTATAAGAATATGGTCTGAGGCAGAATGAACAAAGACAGTCTACACCAAAATATCTTAAAAAGCATGGACACTTACCCCGCATCACTTCCACTTTCCAAGGCGTCAGTGGAGTTTTTGCAGGCCGATCCGGAAATCGTGGACACCGCTTTCCTGCAAGACACAAATGAACAGTGGTTAACTATAATACTGCTACTTCTAGTTCACAGCGCTAAAAAAAATTATGGCAGCTTCGCATTAGTGGTGCCAAGCCTGAAGAAACAGCGGAGCGGGGCAGCCTTCCTTGTTGCTCCTTTTAATTTCTCGGTTTCTTTCTTGCTCTTTCTTCCCTTCCTTTCTCTCTCTACTGATTACTTCCTCTATCTATGTCTCTCACTCTCTTCCTGTTTCTCTTTGTCTTGCTCTCTGCTTTTCTATCTCTTTCTCCGAGTCTAGTCTTTCGATCATTTTATGCCTTTACTCCTCTTAGTTCTCTTTCTTCCTCTCCCATGTTTGACATGCTCCACTCCGTCAAGCAGTTTTCATTTAACACTTGCACCTGCTGAACTTGCATTGGGGATTGGCCAATTCCTGTGGCACATACCCACCTAGGAATTTCTTTGCCTTGAACAGAATAAGGCTAGCCTAAAGAGCTTTGTCGTTATAAAAAAAAAAATCTATAGAACAGCAACATACCTTGCAAAGAGCGGTTTTTCAGCTGCTCCTTTGGCCAAATTCCAAGAAGCAGGTCTTTCACAAAAAGAGAATCCTTTTGATGGCCCTGGATGTGACTCCACGCACAAGAATTTATTCGAAGGCCACTGCCAATGTCCACCTGCATCAGAGGAATGTATTGCAAAAAAAAAATCATAACAACCATCTGAAAAAGCAGCATTTACAGTTAAGCAAGCACAAAAAAAATTTCACCTACAACGACAACTGTATGCAAAACTAAAAATTCCTGAAGCTGCCCTTTAGATATGCACATTACCGTGGCATTCTCTTTTCTTGGGCAATCATCTGGTGGCGGTGTTGTCTCCCTTGGAATCACATCCATGTCAATATCTATGAGCTCCATCCTTGAGTGCTCCGGTTTGCTCTTAATTGAGCACGCAGCTCTACTGTTGCCTGCACCATCAACATGAAGCGAGGCTCACTACAAACAGCAGAACTCAAGTCACTTTAAGAAGACAGCATTGTCAGCAATCAACATTCAAAACATATGAGTTTCAATATCAAGGCTCTCACCCAAAATATAGCTACATCAAAGAAATTGTACCAAATGCAAGTATTGTATTAACTTGAGTTTTTTCTTTTTTTTTTTTTTTTGTAACTAACAATTTGAGAATGCACCTCATATTAGATGTGAAACCAGGCTACACATAAAACAGCAATTTTATTATTTTGTTTCAAAGCACCTTCAAAGAGCATTCTAAGTGACAATGGACGTGTTGGATCTATGCAATGTTTTGCACATGCAACCACTGCCTGGTAAAACATGAAGAAAATGCAAAAGGATTTGCTTAACAATAAAACAATAAACTGTCCAAAGATATTCGAAAATCATAGGCAGTGGCATCAAGGCGTAAATGAGCATATAGTTGTTGGGTGATGAAGAAGTGCGACAAATTCTTTCATGCTCCGCTGACTTGAAAAGCCTTTTGTGGTCCTATGCAAGGTCGTCACCACTGGTCAGAAGAGAAGCTCTCCAACATAGGATGGCGAGCTCATGTTATAACTGCAATACCCTATATTTTTTGTAATTTTCTTAAATAAGCAAACTCGCTCCTTATCGTAAGAATGTGTAAACATGGTAGTATGCACAAACATCACTTCGTTCGATTTTGTGGTTTGAAATTGTAAGGAATAGCTTTAAATTTAAGGAAGCCCATAATTCCCCCCCCCTGAAATTTCAGTTTGGCATGTGTATAAACGCGCATACAAATGCATGCATAAACATACATAAAGCATAGCTGAGTGCCCCCTCCCCCCCAAACCTGAAAAAAAAAAAAAAAATGTGTGACCATGCTACTGGCATACAAATTACAAATAAGTCTACGTACATAGCAGCCACAGAAGCCACAAAACTACGAAAAGCCGAATTCCATACCTTTGCCTTCATCTAAGGCTGTCAGAATTTTTTCCTGCAGCCTCACATTAAGCCGCCTCAGCTCCATGGCCTCCTTTTCTAATGTGTTATTCTTGTTTTGGAGCTGCTCTATTTTTTTGCTCTTTCTATCCATCAGTTGTTCAAGCCTCTGTAGCTTGTTCTTGAGCTCACTGACTAGGCTGCCCCTATCGTCATAGGTCTCCCTCTTTTTTGTTTCTTTGTAGCTGTTTCCTCCTTTCGGCAGATGTCATCCTTTTTTCTCTTCAGCATGTCCAAGAGCTCCTGTTTTGGGCCAGAGGGCTTTTTCACGGGACGCTGTACACAAACAAAAAAATGTCTTATGAGGCTGTTTAAGTTGTGCAATGCATAAAGAATGATATGGCACTGCATAAACAAGTACCTCTGGCTGGACATCATCTTCATCCTCACTTCCGCCGTCAGGTGAATAAGCCATTTTTTCAAACCTAGGCCTCTGCCGGCTTCCTCCCTCCCCCTCCAAGTCGTCTTCAGATTCTGGAAAATATTGAGGTCGTACACATTGAAAAATGTTACGAGGAAATAATTTCATTATAAGCCATGGATGTGCGACTAGGCTGCACTGCAAGTATAAAGAAAAACACAGAAGAGTGACAACAGATTAAGTGGGAAGGAATATTATGCTAAGTGTACACTTAAATAAGCCTTCTACTTATATGAAAGGATCCTTGAAATTTCCGGTAGTCTTTGTTTCAATATTAAAAAAGTTCATGCTCTATATGCATGTAAGCCTTAAACAGAAGCAGGGAGAATATATATGTGCGTAGTATCACAACCATAAAACATGTGCTCATTAACTGTCTTTGCATAAGACTACTGTATATACTGTATAACTGAGCTCTAGATGTTTGCGTATATGCATTTGTGTAAGGAGAGGTCAAATACGCAATATATACATATATATATACACGCAAATCCTGGTTCCTTTTTTTTTTTTATTTCGGGGAGGGGGGATCTGACTGCTATGGTGAAGATAATGAATTAATGATTATTGCATGAACACAGATGATCAAAAATAATTATTTTATTTGACCTACATAATAGTTGAATGCACTTATGGAAGGGCGCCGCTATGAAGACTACTACAAAGAACGCAGTTTTACAGACTGAGCGCAAGCATCAACTAGCCTTATTATTCACTACGCATGAAAATAAGACCACTTGACGGTTGCACTCGTTCTGTTAAACTCTGTCCTGTGTTCTTTGTAGTCTGTTCTTTGTAGTCTATGCTTGTTTCTGGTGTATCACTGACTGATCAATAAATTCTCTTGCTGTCACAGCCTGAATTTAATTTATGAAATTACCTGCCACAAACATGTAGTATCACCTAGTTTGCGGGAACGAGTCCAGAGGTGGCTTCTCTGGGTTCTCCACACAGTGTGGAACAATGTCTTCATTCTAGCGCCTGCGCAATTTTTCAACTCCACTTAATACGAACAATTTTATAGTCCCATTCGAGTTCGAATTAACGAGCTTTTACTGTATTCTGAAAACATAAAGGCAGCTGGGAAGGACTCAACAAGTTTGCCACGTGCCGTACGCTGGAAGCTTCGCAGACAATAGCGTCAAAAGTTGGAGGAGAGGGGTCTATGATCTGGATCAGTGCATACATTTTAAGGAATATTATCGAGTTGTGCTGTACCGCATGAAGAATAGAAAGAAAGGCGATCCCTTAGATATCCATCTCACTTAGCAACAAGTTTTAGGCATATTAATTGCATTTGCAAGAGCGCAAAAGACAGTTGAGTATATATAGTAATTTTTATACACTAGCTTCATTAGGCCTATTTATAAATAACGGAAGTTGCAAGACTATATTTGAACTACGCTCATTTCAAGACAAAATTATGTTTCATTAATCAAATTATACCTGCCGACCGACCGCACGCACCGGATAGCATCAACGATAGGCATATGCGCACCGCGGAACACAAAAATGCACTTAATGTTGAACTTGACAAGGCAAAATAAATGTGTGCCAGGGTCGCAAACGAAGAGCTTACCTCCCAAAGCTAGGATCCGAGCCCGGTAGTAATCAGAGGTCCCGTCCGGATCGGTCCACTTTACAGAATAGAAGAACTTGGACTTGAAGTCCTTCGCGTGCTCTGGTTTGAAGTTTTCGATGTCGCCAACATCCACAATCGCAAGTTTCCGATCGTCTTCGTAACGTACTTTAGCGTGCGTGATCATTCTGCAGTACACTGTGCCGTTAGTGCACGAAAAAAACACAAAGAGGATACGCAGCCGAATGATCACTTCGCAGGATCGCACGCAAATCTGCGGCCAGCGGTCAGACTGCCGTTGCACGTGCTGAATGTAAACGTACGCGCGAGCCGCGAGCTCGTACTTCAAGCCGACTGGCAGATACAGGTTTCCACGTAAACACATCGTGCTACATAGACGCATATGACTTCAATATTAATATGTCCATTTTATTTAGGTTTTATGAGTATATATTGGTTTACCAGATGTACAGATATTACAGTAATAAATGAAATATTGAAATACGAAACTGGACATCTTTTGTGACGCTGACCAGTCAGGATGTGCCATGGTTGCCGTTGTGCTGAAGTGGTGTTCGGTTGTGCGCTCAACAACAATCTGAGGAGCATCCACACGTGCACCAACAAATCGTCTAATGCGGTCATAATGTATCAACTTCCAAAGAGAAAGAAGAGAGGCCCATATAAACGATATATCAACCATGGATCGGACTTTGTGCTACCGAGAAGTACTGAGAGGGGTTGCCAACAGCGTGTAAGTTTACCTTTGTTTTTGTTCTAACGCCTTCAATTGGCGCTGGTGTTCAAGACTCACACGAGACTGCATGTCTTGGTTCGCATAACACGCCTAGCGTATTAACAACAGTTTGTGTGGGCGAACAACCTGCGTTTGTCCGCACATGTAGTTGCCGAGGGTGAACGTAAATATTGACGGCAGATATCGCTCGCTTGGCGGTACCGAACCACGCTGTAAATTACTGTTTAGTGAACAACTGGTAGTGAGCAAACTGGTATTGCTGCGACATTTGAGTACAAATAAAGCGGCTGTGAATGGCAGCCGCTATTTGAGCGGGTCATTGTAACCGATTTTAACATTGACTTAAAATTTTTTTTAACAAATCTCTAATAGGGCATTGAAAGCAGTTGTAGCAGTTCAGTACATTGCATCTGTTAGAACATTTAAAGCGGACTTTTCTGTCTGAATTCACGGCTTACGTAAAATGGTAACAATGTTCGCAGGAGTTTTGCGAATATCTTGCCTACAGGTTAGTTATATTTTACATTAATGCGTAATTAATCGATTTTGCGTGCCTTGGGTTTGTTATTAGCAAAATTGTGATGTCACTTGTCATTGCTGAGTCAGTCATTGAGTTAAGTTTTTGTCTAAGTAAACCCAATATTATTATTAGCATTGGGTTTAAATGCAACAAACCCAATGAGAACTGATGCTGTCATTCTCAAAAACAAACAAAAACCTTTCTCTATTACGATACATTAGATAGGAGCTTACACAGTAAAGCTTCGACTTAAGGCGTGCACATATGTCTAAGATACTTCTTCGCATTCAGGAGGTGCCTATGGACACATCCTCGTCTGATGATGAAGCAGCAGGACAAGCTTCAGTCTCGACAGATATAAATGGCATACTTCGAACTGATACGTTGAGTAGTGAGGATGAACAGGTGAGGTAGTATGTTCGAGACGTTAAGTGCATTTTTATTAATAAGCTGTTTTCTTGCAGGAAACTTCAAGCGATGCTTGTAGCACAGCAGCCTCCAGGGTGACATCTGCTCCGGTCAGTCCCACTACTCCAGAACTGCAAGCAACCAATGATAGGCCACAGCATGCCAACCCGATGGTTTCCCATGACACATTGCTAAATGATGAAGAGGTATGCACACATATCTATATTTATGTGGGTATTTTTTTGTATAACAGAAGTGGTTGTTCGGAGTATTTAGTAATATGCGGTGACATCGCAGAGGCATGACAGCACTTGTGCCTGTTGTGTCTCCATATGTGGTGTCATTGCAGATTTTGCACTAAAATCGAACATGGCTTTGTCACACGTCGAGGTGGTGCCGATCTCTGACGAGTTCCCTTTTCTCTTGGTTTCATCGTTTTTGTGTTTTCTCTGCTCTATTTGTTTTGCAGCTGTCCATGTCTGATGAGGATGGTTCAGAGCAACATGATCCTGGAGAGCTGCCTTCAGAAGATGACATGGTAGGTCCATCGGAAGTTGCAAAAATTACACAAACATGGCTGATGTCATTAACTGCTGGGGGATCACTTAGCTTGTTTAGGCATTGGAAATGCAGAATTTATGAACGGTAAGAGCTCACTGAAAACGAAGACACAATGAAGGCTCACACACACACAGCGCTATGTTTGTGAAAGCAGTGCAGGGAGGGGGATGACAAGGGGGCAAGAACATGTGCCCCTTTATCATTGTGCATCATGACCTTGAGCACCTTCTTGTTTTTCTTCAAATGCGTGGCTTACTGTCAGTGTAATCACAAGTGCACGGAGGGAGGGGGGTACATGGCGGCATCCCGCGGCGGCCACGGTAACTATATGCAGCAAATCAGCCAACCGTCATGGACGTGGGTATGTGGCACAGAAATTGGGATATATGGCATCATTTGTCGAGAAAAGAGGGATCGATTTCTAGCTGACTTGGATAATTAATTGTGAAGTCTCAGTCGAGTGCTGCCATTTTGAACAATTATTTCTTTTCTCCTTTCAGCAGCAAATGCCTAACAGTCCCACGGGGCCGAGTCATGGTGGCAAGTCGCAGTTTGGAGAGTTATTTACTGATGTTATCACTGAAAGAGTGGTTTTGTCCAGAGGTGACATTCTCCTCATGGTGCTGAAGCACGCTGTGAAAAATAATTTGTCATTCACTGGGCTGACCAGCATGTTGGACCTTATTAACAGAATTTTCGAACATCCAATATTGCCTGATTCACGGTACCAGCTCTCCAAACTTTTGAGCAAAACTGGCACAACCATGACATATTATTGTTTTTGCCCCAAATGCTTCACACATATAGAAAATGCTGAAACAAATGCCTCTTTTCAGTGCATACAGTGTGGGCACAGAACGAGTGTTTCCAGTCTATCTGATATGCCTTTTTTTGTGACTCTTGATGTGGAATCACAGTTGCAAAGATTGTTGAAAGACTGTGCACTCCTTGACCTAACAAAGCCACTTCACCATGATGGCTCACTGGGTGATCTATGTGATGGTGAAATGTACCACAAATTCGCAGCTTCAACACAGCAGTGTGGGCCCAGAATCACCTTCACCCTAAATGCCGATGGCACACCGCTGTTCAAATCAAGTGGCACGTCCATTTGGCCTATTCAGTTAATTGTTAATGAGATCCCAGCTGAACAGAGAATGTCAAAACTCGTCCTTGCGGCATTGTGGTTTTGGAAGGAGAAACCAAATATGGAGCTTTTTCAGAAC